GAGAAAATCCTCTGCTTTGCGTAGAGAAGACCTGAGCAGCACTGAAACTCTGAGAAAGCACCCGGGAGACGGATTCTGACCCCCTCCAAATTCAGGAAGCATGGAGAGCTGTCAGAACACGGGTGGTTTCATAGTGTGGATGTGGGAGAGGAGAAGTGAGCGAGGATAGTCATGTGTAACTGAGTCATGGCACAATAAAGTAATTGCCCTGTACAGACAGTCACCTCAGACAAACTGATGAGGACATCAAAAAGTAGAACAGTAAACCGAAAACTGCATTGTCCCCCTGGGTGTTAACTATCTCCTCTGGAGATATGAAAATTTTGTTGACCCACATATGAAGAAAATGTTTGAATGTCACCAAGAGAGGGGGACCAAGAGATCAGTCGTGGTCATGAAGTAATATAATAGTTTGGTAGAATTTTTGAGGACATAGAGATCTTTGTGACAATCAGTGGCTTACTCAAAGGCCAAGAGCTCCTCAGAGCTCCTTGGAGCACACTCAAGACAACAAGATTCTTAGTACAAAAATAACATTCCTGGTAAAGGAAGAGTTTTGTTCATTCAGTGAGTAACCAAAATTGTTACAGTGAAAAAAAAAATCACTCTTGAAAATGTGGCCCCCACCCCAAGTCCTGTGACATTATGACAAAGAAAGGTAGCATGGTGACAGTTACGGGGATGAGTCCAAATTTTGTGAGTCAATTATGCAGTCACAAACTCTACCCATGAATGCGGGCAACCTGCTAAAATACCAAAGACTACAAGAAGAGCGAATTAGATTACTGAAATGGATCAGTGCTCATCAATCTTAATTGAAACTGCCAGAAACTCCGTGTTCTGTTTTATCTTAAATACCATGAAAAACAAATAGACCCCAGAATGTCACTTACTGATGGTGAGACAGCAGCAGCATCTTTCTGCATTCAGGTGCAAACATTGTATAATGAGCTGTATTTTATTTCAAGAATCGATAAGATCCACAAACTCAGGGCATGTGACATTAAAAAGCAGGAAAGCAGCCAACAGATTTAGAAGCCATAAAAATACTGGAAATCTCCAAGCCAGTAGTGGCAAGTGTGCTAGACTGTCTTCAAATGCATGTGTAAGGACAGAGCCTTAAGTTTTAAAATCAGAATAGGTTTAAATTAGAAGAAGCACTTTTTTTCCCCTAAGAAAACTGTCAGCAAAAGTAGTGAGGATGATTCATAGTGTTTTCAGAATAAGAAATATATGCCAACCCCAAAGGACCAAGTGTGTCATAAAACCCTTAAAATCACAAGACATTCATTTTATCCCTTGGAGCAATCAGGAGGCAGACAGAGGGTAATGATGTCAGGAAGATGAAATTGGAAGGAACGAAGCTTTGGTTTTTTTTTCCCTATTGACTGATTGCAATTTTATTATAATTTCTGTACACACAGAATTGATTCTTTTCATGAATAAAATGTTATTTTAGGTTTTTATACTGCCTAACATTGATTGCAGAACATAAGAATCAGTTATGTCTACACAAAATTTATCATGTAGTGGAGGGGAGAGTCTGAAATATTTGCCTATACCATAATTTTGGTACAGGTTTTAAAGATTTTTTTGAAATCCAATTATTCTATTATTGGTGTACAATACAATGACGAACTAATTTTTTTTGCTAGATCGTTTATATTTACTATGGTAAAACACATATAACACATACATTTACCACTGTAACCAAGTTAAAGTGTACAAATCAGTGGAATTAAGTGCAATTACAAAATAGTGCAACCATCATTAGTATCTGGTTCCAAAACTTTTGTCACCCCCCACATGCTCTCTTTAAGCAATCACTTTCTATTTGCTTTCCCTTCTCCAGTCTTTAGCAACAATTAAATCTACTTTGTCTCTATGGATTTGACTATTTTGGATATTCCATACAAATAAAAACATACAGTATGCGGTATTTTATGTTTGACGTCTTTCACTTAGTATAATGTTTTCAAGGTTCTTGGA